TTAAACCCACTGTTATATAAAGCACCTAATTATAACATCACTTTCTAAACACTGCTTCAAGACAAAAGGGAACTCTGTGTATCGATGGGATGCAGTTTATAAGAGTTTCGAAAGAATTTTGACAGTTGCACATGAATTAATTGACATTACAGTGGTCCGAAAAGTTTCCGACCTCAACATGAAGATGGCAGCACCCGTAAATAAAAACTAGTTAATTTCGTTGCTCATATTTCAGCCATTTTGGATGCGCGGTGAGTTGATGTGTTTTTAAGAAACAGGACAAAAGAGTATCAAGCTGTCTTTAAATCTTTGTTTTTGAAAGTCAATACGCCTACGCAAATCAAAGATGAATTGGATTCTGTGTTTGGGGACTCCACTATAATTTGCCACAGTGAAACTTTGGGCACCTGAACGTGGCCGCAAGAGCTTGTGAGACGATGAACGTTTGGGATGTCTGAAAACTGCAACTACCAACAAAAACATCGCCAAAGTTCGCCAAATGGTGCTGGACGACCGACGAATTAAAGTGAGATATCAGAGGTTATGAACATGTCAAAAGAAGGTGTTTATCACATATTGAATCCAAATTTAGGATTGAGAAAGGTGTCCTCGCGTTGGGTGCCGCGTTTGCTCACGCTAGACCAAAAAGGTGTTTGAATAAACATTTCCAACGCTGTGTTGGCGCAGTTTAGGAGCGATAAATCCGAGCTTTGGCACCGATTAAGCACTGTAGATGAAACTTGGATACATCATTATACGCCCGAAACAAAAATACAGTCCAAACAATCTACTGCAAAAGAGGAACCAGCTCCAAAAAGAGCAAAAACTGTTTTTTCGGCTAGGAAAGTGATGACAACTGTTTTTTGGTATAGTCATGAAGTTATTTTCTTCTTCAAAAAGGAAGTGTGTAGAGTTAAAGAGTCCATGAAAAAAAAAACTGATAAAATGTCTTATATCTTTGTCAGATCAGAAACTTTTCAGATCACCCTCGTATGCATACAAACAAATCAATTCTAAAAAAAGAAGAGACATTCCACATAACTTAAAACAACAGCCCACATATCGATTTGCAGTTCGCAATTTTTTGGGCGAATACATTTTTGCTTCAATCTTCCGAAACGTTAATTTAAAAACGAAAAATCATTTGATTCGCGAGAAAAGTCTAAATAAAAATACATTGTTCAAATATGTATTATTTTGTACTCATGTTTAGATAACACATTTCAAACATAATAAAATCTCTATGCTAAAAACAACAAAAAGTCTCTCAAAATGATACACTTAACAAACTTAACAGCAAAAAATACTTTTTTCAACATCAAATGTAATACTTTTGTAAATCTATACTTATCTAATATTTTTTTCTTAATTTAATGTACCATATATTAATGAGAGTAATACCAAATGTTGGTGACATGCAAACTGAAGATAAACAAAGTTTCTCAATTAATTTTATTTGAGCAGGGTAGTTGTGGTCTTATTTTCCTCGGCCTAGTAGGCATTCGCGTTTCTCTCATTTCCAATTTCTATACCGTGGGATCAACGCTGCACTTTTTTGTTATTTGAAAAAGTTACTTCAGATGATGTTGCTTTTGCAGTAATTTTCACTCCTTGGGGGTGTATTCGAAAGATTTAACCAGCAATATTTCATTTCATCAGTTGTTAGTGGACCAAAGTGGCTACATACTCAACATTGTACATCCCCCAACTCAAAATTGGTATAGAGCCATATACGAGGGTGGTCCTAGAAGTACCCAGCCTGACCTACAGATGGCGGCAGTTTGAAAAATGTCACTGTATTAGAAAGTACACAATGTATAAAGCATGTTTCAAGTTTGAAGACGCTGCGTTGTTTAGTATTTGTCCGGCAGCCATCAGTAGCCGAACGTTTTCGGTGCATTTGTGGAAGTGGAGAAAATTGGTCATTGTTATGTGTAACAATACTTTTATTTGAAAGACCTCAGCCCAACCAATATAAAAACTGAACTGGATTCTACTCTAGGCGAGTCTGCTCCTTTGTTTACAATAGCGAAATATTGGGTAGCAGAGTTTGAACGAGGCCATACGAGTTGGCAAGACGAGCATCTTAGTGGTCGACCAAATGAGGTAACGACTTCAGAAACGGTGAAGAAAATCCACAAAGCGGTACTGAACGATCGTCCACTGACAGTGCGCGAGCTAGCAGACTTATTAGGTATTTCCAAAAGTTTATACAAGATAGGTGCCGCGATTGCTCACACTAGAGCAGCGACAGTGTCGTGAAGATGCCTCAATTGAGTGTTTAGTGAAGTTTCACAGCAACGAAGCAGAATTCCTGCGTCATTCCATAACCGTGGCAGAAACATGTGTCCATCACCCGAAAAAAAAAAAAGAACAATCAAAGCAGTGCAAGCAAAAACGGCCACATTTGGCCAAGAAAAATGTTTTGTTTCATCAAAACAATGCATCAGCTCACAAATCCATTATCGCAGCCAGATTTAGCTCCTTCGGATTATGGTCTGTTTCTGAATTTGAAAAAATGGCTCAGTGGTCAAAGATTTTCCAACGATGAAGAAGTGACGTCAGCAGTTAATGGCTATTTTGGAGAGCACGACAGTTCTTATTGAGAAAACAGTATCGAACTTTTTGAATGTCGCTTGTAAAAGTGTATAGAGCTGCAAGGAGATTATGTTGAAAAATAAATACATTGTTTTCCAAAATTTTTGTACTTTCTTTGTTCAGTTGAGTACTTATAGGACCACCCCCGTAAGTTTCACTCCTTCAAAGTGAATTTGAAAGATTTAAGCAGTAACATTTCATTTCATCAGCTGTTAGTATACCAAAGTGGCTACAAACTCAACTTTACGCGTTTTTAAAAGTTTATTTCCTTAAATTTCCACCCCCCACTCCAAAATTGGTGTAGAGCAAGATTTGCTGTAACAAAGTAATTTAGTCACTGTATCAGTTGTAAGTATACCAAAACTTAACAAACTCAACTACTTTTGAAGAGTTTATTTTCATAACCCTTATCAATACCCGCCCCCTTAAAAAATGGCTGTAAAATAATAATTTAGTCACTGAAAAAACACAACAATTGTTACCTTCGACATAATTATCCAAGGTATTTGTATCTTCACTCAATCAAACGTAAAACAATTTTCATATAAGACATACGTAAAATCACCAACATATCCAGGTAGAAATACTTGGTTCAAAATAATATTACCGTGATGCCACTAGTGAAAATATAACCTAAAATGAAATGAGCATCTTTTTGATTCCGAAAAATTTCACAGATCTATGTTGAACTGTTTCAAAACTTTCAGCAACTCATTTTTGTTCCTTTTATTACCTAAAAAATTTCAGTCGCTTAAATGAATATGTTCTTACTTCGGCTAAAACATAAATAATCAAAAAACTAAAAAAAACAACTGAAGACTACTCAGAATATTTTGAATCATAAAAAATATCTAAATAATACTTTCCGTGCCATAAAAAATGAGATGATTCAATACATTTTTGGCACAGTTTTATGCACAGAAACATCAGAATTATTACAATACAGAAAAACTGGAAAATCTTAGCACCGCATTGAATCGGATTAATTTCCAAACACTCAATATCACAAACATGAATAGCTACAATGTAACAAAATACAGCTAAGTCACATAATATGTATTCATATAAGAGCAGAACTATTCGAACGTGAGAACCTTGTCAGCAGTGAGAGACATAAAGTCGAGTTGAATTGGAGGAAAGTTTACAATTTTTAGAGTACCGTTGAATGAAACTGAAGAATCGATTCTAGTTTGAAATTTTAATTGTTTTTCCTTGTTAAGAAAACTTTCACCGTGTCCTCTGACTTGGGGGCCAAGTGAAGACCTCCTTTTTTTTATTGAAAAAGTTTATTTCATATCAAGAAATTTAACTTTCAATATTTGCCATGAGCTAATGTAAAGCGCATTTTTTTTTTTTTTTTTTCAAAAAACTTTGAAGCTCATACAAAGTTCCTCAGAAGAAAATATAGAATGTTATTAAAAAAAATTACCATAATTATACTACCAGAAATGGATATTTCTGATCATTTCTACAGTATTTCCAACACTGTGAGACTACGTTGGATTTTTCATCCCTTGTTTTCAATTTCAGCTCTTCTTCCCCCCACTTATTTTCAACTGACTAAATCTAGATGGTAGTTCATTCTCGATTTATGATGGAAGAATTTCAAGAGAATTTTCAAAACTATCAGATAGTAATCATACATTTATAGCAGATATGTTTGAGGTTAAAAATGTGACACAAATCACAGGTCCTTTATCTAAAAATTTTATGGTGGAAAGTTGCAGCAGCCTTGCGATATAAACCCTGAACATTCAATAAAGATATTTCTCCATAAGCAGGAGAGCTACAGACGATTCATACTGTCATTCAAAAGTACTCTGAAATAGACAAGTTCAATTCACTTCAACAGACTCACTATCTTTTACCCCGTTTATTACATTCCCACTCGAATTCTGATATATATATATATATATATATATATATACACACAAGTATATACACACACATATGTGTATATACATATGTGTATATATGTATATATACTTGCATATATACATATACACGTATATATACATATATATGTATATATGTAAATATATATACATATATGAAGGTAGGTGGGTAGGTAGTATATGCAAAGCAAGGAGTACTGAGATTTTCAATCATTTCAAGTTCAAAAAAACAAACTTCCCCTTTTATTTCAATTCCTTGTGCTTTCATCTCTGCATAGAGACTTCTTCAGGATGCTAAAATCAATTACAACAGAAAAGGACTTTGAAAAATGACCGATATATACAAGTAAATTGATATTAGTGAAGTTCTGACCTATAATAAACATATACAAAGTTTATGAAATTAAGACATTGATGTTGTCATAACCTCAAAATATCTGACACTATTGATGCAAAAATATGTATTGACTGAAAATCCCGTTACTCCCTACCCACCTTTCATACAATAACTCAAAAACTAAAATATACAATTTAACATTTCGAAAAAGGAATATTAAATAATCTAAAACGCGCTATTTCTACGACTAGATCTAGTAAATGACATCCAGAAATCTCCACTTCTAGATTCTTCAGTTACAAAGTAGATACATTTTTGTAAACATTCAGCTACATAAAGAGAATATGAAGGTGTTTATCAATAGTACTTGAATTGTCGTCCTACCTAACCATTATGGCTTGACTTACTTAAGCACTGGTGGAATGCAGATGATTTTTTTTTTCTGAAATTTTCAGACAGGATGGACAGGATAAACTCAAATCTACGAATACATTCCAATCAGAATGAGAACAGATATAACCTATTGAAGAAAAATATATAAATTATAAAATTTGAATGTGTTGATTGTTCGATGAGAATCGTTGTTTAGCTGAGTTGATCGGTAGCAAAGCCATAAACTTCCAGCACTCTTATCTCGAAATCTCCTCCTGGTACTAGAGGAGGATTGTTGAATGTGGAACATGCATCAGTTTTGCCATATCGTATATTTTCGTCCATCCATATTCCCTGACCTTCCCTGTAAATGAATTACTAATAACAGTAATGTTCAAAGCCTCTATAGTTTTCATAAATACTGCCAAAGGAAGGAAGGAAGCAATCAATTTCAAACAAGTAACTCTATACAAAGGTGTGTAGATCAGCAAAGAAGTAACTTTCAGAGACAAACTGAAAAAAAAACCCTCTCGAATACAAGAAACATGTATAATTCAATGATTATGTGAAAGTAGTTGTTTGTTTGTGTCTGAAAGTTACTTCTATGCATGATCTACTCATCTTTGTGTGCCAATTGCCTTCGTCCTTTCTCTGGTAGATTCCCAAATTTTATTGGTTTTGTATCTCTCCTAAAAAAGACCCCTTTCAATTTATACTGGAATTAGTTTTGTCTCACATTGATCTTAAAATTAATACCTCTGGTACTAGGTCAAAAAACACCATTACCGTAACTATGGATTCCACAGCCCTTTATCAACAATGGCAAGGAATGCAAACAAAGTACATTTGAACTACTTCGGCATACCCTATTCTACTTTCAGACGAGAACTAATATATATATATATATATATATATATATATAAAATTTTGTGTATCTACCTACTGTATGGTATGTTATGGAGTGACAATAATTCAGAAGTGATGAAAGAATGAATGACAAGAGAGTTACGGACATGGCTCTATGAATCTACCTAAAAATTACGTTGTTAATCTTTT